TTAAGAGTCCCTTAAATGGATATTTCATGTGCAGCAATACTGTTTCCTTTGTGACCAAGTACCAGTAAAGGAGTAACTCCCAGGCATTTTCTCTATTTTTTTTTTTAACCTCTGAGGTATGTTGTAATTAAAGGATTACTGTAGTTGTGACACCTCCTGATGACAAACACTATAGTTTAACTGAGGGTGGCAGCAGTGTTTCCATCTTTTCCTCTGAATGAGTTGTTAAATATACAGGCAAGTCTGACTCCATTGCTGTGAAATAATTGCACCAATACTCTGACTTATAAGAATTGAGTCTCATTTGTGTAAAATGCAATCTGGAGAAGAGTTTGGTCTTACAAATATGAAACTGTGTTCATCTCCAAACTGCAAGAAAATGTCTTTCCTGCAGGTACTGCCCTGTATCTTAACTCTCACTTGAGCTCCTGAAAAGGTTTCCTGTGTTGAGCTGTTGCAACTTAGGCTGTCAGCATCTCACCAATGATTCTCTGACTTTCCATGATAGAGTAAATGGGTGAATGTCATAAATGCACAGCTGGATGCTGGGCATTTCAGTCTGTGCTGCAGTGCTGTGTAAGGAAGAAACGGGTGTGTTTAGAAAGATCACACAAGAGTCAGATACTGGAAGGGTATTACTGAAATAGTACCAGAGTCCTCAAATGAATATACTAAAATCAAAGAGGAAAAGAAAACAAATGATTTTAGGGTGAGATGAAATTTTTAGCCTAACTATTTTTTCTTACTCAACCAAAGGTTTATTACCTAAGAAATAATTTTGGATGATAATCTAAATCCTCCTTAATCTAGAATTACTGGCACTGCTTTCTAGCACAAATGATAATCCCTTAGCTTTCATAAAGTCTTACAATCTGCAAAGTTTTGAATGCAGCTCATTCAAATCTGGATTTTAATTGTCTCTGTTGCCCTAGACCAATCTTCAGTGTTTAGACAGCATAGTTTCATACACCCTCAAAGTTCAGTCTTCCCTCTGCTGCTGCTTCATACCTTTTCTGTGTAGTACTGAAGTGCCTTTACAAAAACTGTAAATCTGTAAGAGGTGCAAAGCTTTTGTTTTTGTTTTTTTTTTCCTGTTGTCTCTTAATCCTCCCCTCTCCCCACCAGTACTCATGTATGACTTGACACAGAACAGAATCTGTTGTAATGAACACACCTTCAGAGAATTCCTGGTTCGAGTGCTGTGCAGTGGAAATAACAGCTAATTTGGTGATGCTAATTTCATTTCTGGTACATTCTGCAGCTAGATGAAGAGATCTCAGGAATTCTTGAAGTGGTGGGAAGAGTCACAAATCAGGCAACCATCATGTGCATGTCATACGTCCAGTTCAGGGAAGATAAAAGTCCATTTGGTAAGTAAGGATATGTTAGAGCAAATTAATTTTGTATTCTGAACATTTATTCAGTAAATAAGGAGAGCATCATTATCCCTTCCTGTGGAGAGGATCATTCTTCAAGCTGCCTAATATGGTGTGGAAAATATATAAACAGACAATGGCATTAGAAAATACTACGTGCTGAATACGTTATTTTACTGCCAAACTGTAGGGACTGGTTCAAGGCCTGAGCTGACCTAGGCCATTGCCCCAGGCCTGATTGTTTCCCCATTCCCAGCTACACGGTTCTTTGTCTTCCCTGTCCTGTGTTGGACCTTGTGTGATGTCCAGTTATTAGCAGGCCTAAAAATAATCCCTCAAAAAGAAAGCAATGAGACTATGGCAGGGTTGGAAAACTGGAGAGCATGTAGGGGATGGAGAATACTCAACTGTATTGCTTTAAAACTGGCAGTGCTTTAATGCTGCAATTTGCTAGTGGGGAATTTAAGCTTTTTTCTTTTTTTGCCCTCTTTCAGATCTGGAACTCTACAATGAAGCACTGAAAATTATTCACGAATTCCCTGAATACTTCCCCTTTGGTACTGGGAGGAACAATTAATTCTTTTTAGAGCTTCAGGTGTGCAACATTACCTTGGCTGTCTTACCTGACAGCACGGTAAGACTTGCATTAGTTTCCAGCAAATATACTAAGAAGATGCTATTACACGTGCCATGTGTGGCCAGTGAAATATATTTTCTTAAAAACTTTTCTTTGCATGAGCTTAGTGAGAAGCAGAACATTTCTGTGGCTATCTTACTGACTGTATATATTTAATCCTTCTGCATTCATGAGGAATGCTCTCTTGCAGGATTTGCTAGAAATGGACATTTTGTAGGTGTCTTTTCCATTGTCCACGGAGGTCCCAGGATACTTAACACAAAACTCATACTGAAGATGTTTGGTAGGGTATTAACGTAAAGATATCTCAAAATATCTTTTGCTTTGATATAAATTTGTTGAATGTGGGGGGGAAGATTTATTTTGCATCTTGATAATGGTCACTTCTCCAATAAACATATGACTACGTACAACTGCTTGTGGTAGTATTATATCTACCTAGTGCTATTTCCAACGATACATGGTGATTCCTATTCCATTTTACCTAACACAAGTAATTTAATTTTGACAATGTGGAGCACAAGGTACTTGCCTTCTGCACTGCTGTTCAACATTAGAGACATTTAAGTGTCTGATTAGGCTTGTAACTCAATCACACTTGAAATCCCCATCACAAACGTCATTCTTGGTGGATGTCAAGGCAGAAGTACCAGGACTCTGCTAAGATGTCTTGATGATTTTACTCAGACAAACTTCCCCACAGTCCAGGGGGAATTTTATTCTATTACAATCCAGGCTATTTAATATCACACAGCAGAATTCTTACCTCTCCACGTAACACAGTTAAATCTAACTTCTGAAAAATTTTCTGTGATTTAATAAAATAGTTAGAAAGCATTTTAAGTAAACTTTTTTGTGTGTGGTTCCATATTCACTAGCCTTTTCTAGCTGCAGTTTTTATAGCTGGATTAAAACCTTATTAAGATCGCTAGCACTGTGCTTATTTATGAATGTCTCCATTTTTAGTCAAAGAATCTGTTTTTAAAGAGGCCTCATTTATCAAACTTACCACAAACTGCAGCACTACTCTGATTGTTACAAATCATAAGTGAATTAGTTCTTCCAGCTGAGTGGCTGATCAGGTTAATCAGGTGCTTTGTTTTCTTCCCTCTCTGCTTAGAAGTTGGACAGTGACAGGAGGTGAGGGAGAAGGACCTGAGAAGTATGAGTCAGTCTCATACTGTAAACCTGAACAAGAAGGTCCTTCTGGCATGACACCATACTCTGCTTTATGGTACCATTACTACTGTATTTTAGCATTCAGCAAAATTAAATGTCATTGCTAACAACTACATGCTTGTTTTACTGGCATTTAACTCTCTAGAATTATTCTACCTTAGAAAAAAAATCTATTTTGTGCATGTATATATATTGTAAAATATAACATGCAAATAGTTCTTTACAAGGTTATCTAAGCCCAATAAAACGGATTCCACCACTAGATGGCTACAGCACTTTACACCGACAGAGACCATCCTTGGATATGGGAACTTGTGTGTAAATATTTGATCACATCTAAGTGGTAAATGCTAGTTTTCCCTTGTCTGTCAAGACCTCTATCCCAGAGCAATGATACACACAAGAAGCAGTATCAAACTGACTGTGTGGCTTATATTAATAAGGAACTGTAACATATTCTTGCTATGAAAGGAAAAGTAATGCTCAGGCTCTGTATGTATTTAGGAGGGCAACAACTAAAGAAAGTGCAAGACATTCCACATATCAAAGAAATAACCATGGGGACTGCATTGCTTCCCCCCCCCTTCAGAATTTCACTAACTCAGTAGATGTATGAGAAACTGCCAGGGCTTAGAAACAATAAAGGGAAACTCTGGCTTAGTGGGTAACTCATGAAAGGGGAATCACAAGAGCAACCACACCATAAACACCAAGGGAAGATATCAGGTCAGTGAAACTGGGGCATGTTTTTCCCTGCTGTGGCTAAGAAGTATTCTTCCTAACTTCAGCCCAGGGGTACTATACTATCCCACTGCCTTTTTCTCCTGGAACATCTAGTGTAGTTGGCAGGATCCTAGTCTGAGTAGGCATAATTGGAAAAAATGGATTTGAGTATAGAAGGGATGCCTGCTGAGTGCACTGGGAAGCACAAATTGGAGAAGAGAGCTGTTGGAAATGCAGAGTAGGGGGGTTGAGCAGCTCCCACACTAGGCTCCCTTTGGGTACAGGGAAAAGTGAAGTGAACCATGGAATTGTTTGAGTTCAAAGGGGCCCTTAAAAGTCAGCGAGCCCAACTCCAGGAACATGGCACAGCTCAGTCAGATTGCTCAGGACCCCATCCAACCTGACCCTGCATGACTCCAGGGATGGAGCATCCACCACCTCTCAACATCTGGGCAACATCTCCCGTACCTCACCACTCTTATAATTATTTTTTCTTTATATCCAAGCCTTGTCAGAGGTGTCTCCCTCTTTGCCTCATGGTCCTTAGCCCACAGTCCTGGCCTGAGCTACACCACCTGGACTGCCTGTGCCTCTCAGTGACCCCAACCCGCTGATGGGAATGCCAGCCTGACCTCAGTCCTGCCTCATCACTGTGACTTGTCCGAGGAGTGCTGGACACTTGGATGATGTTAATCTCTGTCACCAGGCTTGCTCGGCTCTCCTTGCTCAAGCAGCACAGGACTGTGACCCTTGTAGGTGACAGAGACCATAACAAACTCAAGCCAGTTTGTGCTCATTTGCAAGCCTCTAATGCATAAGATGAGAAAGTGCTTGCACTTAATCACATACTATGAAATGAAAATAATGTAGTCAGCATGAACCATAAGTTCAAAAAGGCGTTCTGGCATGCAAAGTCACCTTCAACTATTTAAATAACAGAGTCAAGAAGATAGAAAATAGTAAGTGTGAATGTTATCTGCAGATAATGAAATGTCTGCAGCCATACTTACAAATCAACTCGCCAAATCACAGCTTTACTAATTAACAAACAAAACAAGCACAAAGATGATTAAGTACACCTCTTATAAGTTTTTAGGAATAGTGTAATTATTGGTCTGAAAGCTCAAACACCAATTAACAACAGCAAAAGTTGGTACTTACACTGGACCAGAATATGTACATATTAGTAACCTAAAACATTTCAAAGACATGCTGAACATCAAAGTAGGCAACTTATTTAATAAAATGATAGAAACTGAAACAAACAGGTATAGTCAAGTCAAAAAAAGTTGAGCCTTCTTTTTTACATTAAAAAAAGAGACATTTTTAAGCAGTTAGGTTCCTGGACATGGTATTTATCATGAAAATTTACTAATCGATGGTACTAGAGAGGAATAAAAATATATCCTTTGCACTTACAAATCCTCACTTCTGTAAAGCAAAAGTGTTATTGCCTGTGTTTATATAAATAGGGTATCATACATCAAACCCCAGTTTACATTTATTAATGGAGAACATTTTAAAGACCACTTCAACAGAAACAAAGTGTGCAAAAATACTAGAAATAAATATTCCAACAAGAAAAAAAAAAAACCATTAACCACTCCTCCATGATAGTCTGACTACAGGTATTAAGTACCTCTTAGATTTTAACTGTATATCTTTGTCAATTAGGCAAGAATTTTAGATCAGAGTAGGTATAGCAGACGTAGTACAGCATTAATCAGAAAATATGACTGGAAGTTCCAAATGCAGTCATGTACACCCACAGACACCATTTCTACTTTCTATCTTGTTGCAACTACATTAGAGCACTTAGAACCCGTGGTATGTTACAATATATTCTTTCTTAAAACAACAAATGTCACAGTCCTGGCAATATGGTGCCAGTTTATTGCTAGCATTCCATTTAGTATTTCAAAGCACGCAAGTAATAAGTAACTCATACACTGTTTCTAATAGTAAATAAACACACACCAAGTAAACTGATGTTATTTTCACATACCTTAAAACAGGTGTTTTTTCCCCCCTAATATGAATTTTGTTGCCTACAAAATTAAGGACAACAATACCGATTAGCTCCTAGCACAGTTTTAGCAAAATATCATTGACTCTCAAGTTAATAAATATACTTAATTCCAGCTGGTAACATACATATATGTTTTTTTTACCACTTGCAGTCAATGACACAAAATCGTGCAGTCTTTAGGAGCACACTGGTGTCCAGCAGTGACCTGAAGCAGGATTTAAATAGGTTCACTTCACGCTTCCCAGTCTATTTCAGAAGTGCCAAAAAATCCTGATTATCCGAAAGTCCCAAAAATTCAAAATGCTTGTAGACAAAACTCAGTATGTAGTTTAAACCTGAAATGTTTACAAGTCTCCAGTCTTGAGATTTCAGATCTTCACAGTATTATGTTAAAAATAAAACAGTCGTATCAAACTTCTAATAATTTGTCTGCACTCTGCAGTGAAACTGACACGTGAGTTTTCAGGGAACTCCTGTCTAGGATAATCTCCCCAGACTCTTTAGCATTATAATTCACATCAGCACATGAAATAAGCTCTCAAATTGCAAAGGTATTGCTTTACTGTTAACAAAAGTTGAGAAAAGAAAGAAATAGGTTTTCCTGTAAAATAAAATTATTTAGAATATAATTAGCAGTAACATTCTTAATTGACTTACAAGGAAGTGATTGCATTCAATGAAGTGTGATCAATCAGTGAAAGGACACCACAGCATCGTTCTGCCATCCTCTGAAGAAGGCTTTTTCGCCATTTGCTTTGAAGGTTTACTTTCACTGAGCACAACAGATAAACATTGCTTTATTTGGAAAAACTGATAAACTGATAAAAGGGCCCAAAAACATTACCCTGAACAAGTTGTTAAAATTCTTTGAATTTCAACAAAGCCTCCCGGCCCCTTAACTGCTTAAATCCACTGGCTGAGGCCCATGTGATAAATCCAAGAGGCTTATTTCCATTATCAATTTCTACCATGCACAGTCATACACACAGCATTTTACTCATCTGATAGCAATTTATTTTTTCACAGTCATTAAGTCACAAACGACCTCTGTCTAAAATGTATGCTTGGACTAGAATGGACATCCATTAGAGATCCTCACATTTTCAAGGAATATTTACACCTGAACAGTCTCTGCTGGGATAAGATTCCCTGTTGTATCCAGCTGCATACACTTACACGAACAGGCAGACACAGGACACTCAGTATGGTCCCTAGATAGCAATGGCAAAGAAAAGGAAAAAGCAGGTAAGATAAAGCTAACAAACGTTTTGCAATCTGTAAATTTAAGTATGTGCAGGAACGCAGCATCACACAGAAAACTGCAGCGTAGTAAGCTTAGCCTATGTTGTTGTTCTTTGGTTTTGGTTTTTTTTTGTTGTTTTTTTAAATACAGACACTTTAATTGCAGATACAACAAAGGAGACACATCGTACTTCATGCAGCATACAGAAGGGAAATGCAAAAGATCTTAGCATCAACTTACCTGAACCAACTGAGCATATGCCCAGCATGTCCACCATGCCTACAGTTGTGACACCAAGTAAACCAGTTGTTGAACTGGGCCAACTTCTTGTCTTTGCTAAGATCCACTTTTTCATCTGACTTGGATCCTCCTGCACAGAAGCAAACCCATCACAACAGATAAATGAAACATAATGGCTTAAATTTCAGTCTCACTGACACTGTTAAAATGAATTTGGAAATAGGAACTTCAGGTGAAGTAGCAACCTGACTCTAAAAGGGATGTCAATGCAATTATTGAAGATATATGAACTGGTGGAGAATCAAGAATTGTATTGCTTGGCTAATGTCTCACACCTTACAGACATGCTGGTCTTGCCTATTAAATTTTGCAGACAATCTCTTTCAGTGATGATTTATGTTTCAGTGATTAATTTATGTTCCAGTGAATTATGCACCTGTTCTACTGTACATAGAATGTTCTGCTCTAAAATATGTAAGATTAGCAAAATCTCAGTTATGAGTTGGAATAATTCAGTAACAAGTCATGTCACTGAGCAGTGAAAGAATGAGAGAGATATAAATAGATGACAACTGCACAGCTGCTCATAGCTCTTTAACAAGACTGACCTAAAAATATGGAAAAAAAAATAATTTTACTTAGACCTTGTATACTGCTGTGTTCAAGAATTCAGAACCAAGAGATTCTAGCAATAGCATCTCTTAGCTGTTCCAGCAGGACCCATACATTCTTTCACCTTTAGTCACAGAGAGTATACATATACACATTACATTTATTTCCTCTTCCAATTAAGGAGCAGTTGATTTACATTACAAGATTCGTGCAGGCTCCCAACAGTTCATCCCAAGAAAACACATCTCCCAGTTCAATGTCAAAGCTCATAACACCAAGCACCCAATAACCAAATCTTTTTCTCCTGTTTAAGCTGTGGAATTCTACTACCAATATCACTGGAAAAAATGGCCAGAACGAGGTAACCATGCATACAGTCTGACACACACACACAAAAAAAGATATAGGTTTAATCAAAATATTGGATGGGATGTAAATGTGTTCTCTACTACAGTCTCTCTTTAATTAAAGTATTTACAGTATGAGTACAAATAGGAGGAAAAAGTGCAACAGAAGATCTTCTTTCAGGAACTGCTAATTAGGCCCCTAATGAGGATCCCAGCTGAATAACTTAACATGAGTACATTATACCTGGACAACTGGAAACTGGAGTTCCCATATTTATCAAGCAAAGTGCACAGCGAGGAAGTGGCTTACGACAACCAGGGCAGCTGGTAACTTTTGACTTCGTTGGTGAACCACTAACCCCATACTGGCTGAAACCTCGCCCCTGATGAGGAATGGCTGAACAGCTGTAGGAGATTGATTTTCCACAGAAATTGCAACTCACAAACACCTAAAGAGAACAAAAGCCCATTAGTTTTTCAGTTTGTTTCAATTTCTACTATAATTATAAGTGAATTTGCTCAAGCTAGTGAAGACTTGATTTACTAGATGTTCTAAAGACTGTGCTGGAAAGTCTTGCAAAGGTGTTGCTAACATCTTGGCTTATAGACTTGACATGCAGTTCTGAGGAGTAGCCTCAATGCTGCCCATGTACTTAAACAGCACATAAAACCCTGTAAAACTGTTACTGCTTGGAGGGATATCATTTAAGAATATAAGAAGTTACACGTCAGGTAACTAAAGAAACTAAGCTTACTCAGTCTACAGGCCTCTCCATCTTTCTACTCAAGTGACTCAGTTTAGAGTCCACAATGTGAGGATTTGCCTAATAATCTTTACCTGCATACCTTATGTCACAAGTTGAGTATAATACAGAGAAAAGCATTACTTTCAGCTCTGTAGGAATTACTGATATTCATGTAAGGCAGGAGCAGTAAAATTCAACTCCTCACTTGGAGCAGTATAGATGGAGTTCTCTTTAAAAAGTTGTGAAGAATGTGACTCAAAACAGCCTTCCTTAGAAATCCTTGAGTCCCCAAGGCTTGTAATGCACATATTAGCAGGCATGAGCAAATAGGAGTTGCTGTAGGCAGAACATTTTGAGTAAAAACAGTACCAGATAATATTTGGACAGGGTGTCATTTTTCAGTTTAGCTTATGCTCTGAGCTGATAAGGAAAGCTGCTATTCACTTCAGACTCAAAGGCTTCAAAGGTTGAGTTAAACGAGAACCAATTTGAACTGGTCCTGGTTTCTTTCCCTAGTTTCAGCACCATCCTCATCATGATGAAGAACTCACTAGGAAAAGTTTCCCATTTTGTTTTTCAATGCTGGAAGAAAAAAAACCCACAGTTTCACATGAAAAAAAGTGTGGAAACATTACAGATTCTGAAAGATGAGTTCCTGTTACAGGAAAAGAGTTAGGAAAAAACACACCAAATAATGATTGAATAAAATGGCACTTCCTAGATTAGGATGTATGTATATTTGTTTACTTCCTTACTTCCTACTAAAACAGTTAAGTCCTTCCTCTGAACAACATTTTTAAAAATATTAACAAAATGAATAAATAAAAACAACAAATAGAACACAAAACATTGATTTAGAGTATTCTTAATTGAAATCTTTCCTTTCCTTTCTTTTCCTCACGAAAGCCAAGATGCAGCCAGGAATTTATTTTTTTCTTTTTAAGAACCACGTTGCCTTCCTGAATTGGTCATACTTCATGTAAGAATCACATTTACCTGAGCTAAAGGTTTTGAACTGGGATCCAGCTTACTTCTGTGGATATCAAATTCTGCACGTTTGTGCCAAAACCTCCAAGCATCTAAAAGATTCCTATAGTTCTCAATCCAGTACTGAACCCTTTCATCCTTAAGTACTTCTGATGGAGAACCCTAAAGAGAAAGGAAAAATGGTCAGACATATACTGAATATGCACAACACAAGGTATTCACTTTTTGAAAAGGCTTTACCAGTACATAATACAAAATACAAGAAATAACAGCATAATTTGCATTGACAGAGATGATATTTGGAAATATTTAACACGAGTTTGATAAAAGTTTCCTTCAGTGTACCTTTCAGGTTGAAAATACTCGTGCTGCTGTTCTCCTAAAAACTCAGATTATACATTTCTGTAGCACATCTGAGTTCATACCATTCCTATGGTTACATACGTAGTCAAACACAGTGCTGGTAGTAACTCCAACTGTGCCAGTAAGGACCAAGATAAGCTCAAAACAAAAACGAAAACCAACATCCACCCAAAGACAAAAAAAACCCTCCACCTTACAGCAGTTCTCTAACAATACCCTGGAAGCAAAAAAGCCTATTTTGAACCTATCAGAAAACATAGCAGTAGTTCAACTATTCAACTGCTCAACTATTTTTCTTTTCCTGTCTTCCCCTTGTCTTCACTTTCTCTGACTGAGACAGCTTGAATATATAAGTTTGTAGTTATCATCAAGTGTTTCATATGATTGCACAAAATCATCTGGCTATCTATTGTCAAAACTTACTACAGAATATACTTTTTAGTTCATAAGATTCAGTGCTGTACTGGTAAATAAACAATGTTTACTTCTCTAATGTAAAGATTCATTTTTGAGAGAGACACTAACCTGTAACATGCAATAGCTTGCTGTCTGGACATCACCTGTTCTGTCAACGTAACTTTCCATCAAGTCCACACCATCTTTTGTCAGCCCTGTCAACAGTATTCCTTCTAAATTCCCAGCATCTTTCATTTCATTCGTCAGCTTCTCAATAAATCTGTTCAGCTATAAAAAGAAATTACTTAACTTTTGCTGTTTGTACATCCCCTGTAATTAATTTAATGCATGCAGCAAAACTTTTTTAAAGTTTAAGAGTATTAACAGTACACACTGCTTGCTGCATGTTGTACAGGAAAATGTATATGGCTGTATCCACTATATACCGAGAATTTAAATATCAGTGTACTTTAAACCTCCTGATGCAAAGAGCAAAAAGGAGGAGATCACCAGTTTTTCCATACACTCCTGTCTATTCAAAGGAAAACATTCCTACTGCAAAATAAAGGCTTTTTTCAAGAGAAGGTAAATGTCTGGAAATAAACACCAAATACAAATACTGTCCAGTAAAGCATTTAGCTAATGTGATATGATTTTTAAAACAAGTCTAGAACATTATTTACTTTAAAAAAAAAAAAAAATTAAGAGAGAGAGGGAGAAAAAATATACCACAGCTTATATCCTACTGTGAGGAAAAACCAAATCCCTTATGATACCCTGCTTCACCCTCCCACCTCAAATTTTCATCTCACTAAATAAACCCCAGCTTAACAGTTTGCTTGAATGTGTAACCATAGACTTACCTGAGCATCATTGAGGAACTTGCAAGCAAATGCCACTCTGTCTCGTACTGCCACATTATTTTCATACTTAAGAGAGAAAAATGGGAGTATCACCATCACATGCCAACTTACAAGATTTCAATACACTGCTTCTAAAAGTCAGATCATTTATCTTATTGTACAGCTAATATTATGAATTTGATTACGTACAAAGAATGCACCAGGAGAAAGCTAACACCAAATACCAACTGATCTGTTAATGCTCAGAGATAGGCATCAGACTGAGACTGTGGCTACCTGGAACAATCTGCTCCTGTGGCAGAAAAGCCTGGTACAATACACTGTACGTGCTTTTTGAAACTATACAGTAAACAGAAGTTTTACAAATCGCATAATTACAATCAGGGCTAGGCTACAGCGTTTCTAGCACATATAGCCAAGAGTCTCAATAAGTCACAAAAAGTAGAACAACCAACCCTTCTTCTTCCATATTTATAAAAAGCCTAGCCCCACTACTTCAGTTTTCCTAAAACCACAACTGAAGAAAATAGTAGTAATAAAACGACAATACCCAAAACATCAATTTCTCAAAAGTATGTTAGCACCCAACATGCAGCATGCAACATTTACTTGCTGCTTTTTAATCCTTTTGCTATATCAGGCACTCAAGAAAAAAAACACCTTGATTACATTCACCCTGGTACTTAGCTGTGCCTATATAAAATCATTACCTAACACCCAGAGAACAAGAGCATTCTCTCTTCCTCACAGAAAATGTTTTCTCCTCTGGGATTCTTACCTTATTCTTATTTAATAGCCTAAATATATCATATTTTGTTATCCTTCTCTTTAACATTTGTGGGCCAATCACTCTTCTACATGTGGGTTAAATCAAGCATATCCATTATTCTCTAACTAAGGATCAAGTATGTTACTTCTCCAAAACGTGAAATATCTCATGATTAAAGATCTAGCACCCTCTTTATATCAATTCTAGAAGATATAAAATTGTTTATTATTTCATCACTCCAAAAATATTTTAACAATTAAACAAGAAAAAATGAAATACAATTCAGCGCAAAGACAGCATCACAAAAACTTCTCTGCACCTGCTGTTTCCTGCATTTCTCTTATTAGAATAGAACAGTTCATAGAATCATAGAATGGCCTGGGATGAAAAGGACCTCAAAGACCATCCATTTTCAATCCCCCTGCTACGTGCATGGTCACCAACCAGCAGACCAGGCTGCCCAGAGCCACATCCAGCCTGGCCTTGAATGCCTGCAGGGATGGGGCATCCACAGCCTCCTTGGGCAACCTGTTCCAGTGCATCATTATACTGTGTGAAAAACTCCTAATATCTGACCCAAGCCTCCCCTGTCTCAGTTTGAAACCATTCCCCCTTGTCCTATCACTACCCACACTTGTAAACAGTCATAAACCCCTCCCATTTATGCACTCCCTTCAAGTACTGGAAGGCCACAATGAGGTCTCCCTGGAGCCTTCCCTTCTCCAAGCTAAATAAGCCCAATTCTCTCATCTTTCGTCATTTGGAAGGGACCTACAAAGATCACTGAGCCCAACTATGTTGGGCTAACCAGTAGTTAAAGCACACTATTGAAGGCACTGCCCAAATGCCTCATGATCACCAACAGGTGTGTGGCACCAACCATCTCACTAGGAAGACTGCTACAGTGTTTGACCATCCTCACAGGGACGAAGTTTCTCCTTAAACCCAGCCTGAGCCTCCCCTGGCACAGCTCTGTACCATTCCTGAACGTTCTGTCATCAGTTCCCAGGAGCACAGTCCAGACCTTCCGCTCCTCAGGGAGCTGCAGAGAGCTTTTGGCCACCTCTTGGACTCCTCTTCTCCAGCCTTCTTCAGCCTCCAGCTCCCTGTCCACCTGGGACAACCCAGGTGCCTTCAGCTTCCCCTCACAGAACAGACCTTACAGCTCTGTTCCCAGAATTGATGCCTTCTCTGGATACTTTAAGGGACCTTAACATAATTGACATATTGTGGAGCCCAGAAATGCACACAGTATTCAAGATGAAGCTGTACTAATGCTATATGCAGAGGCATAATCACCTCTTTTGACCAGTTGGCTGTGCTGTGCTTAATGCCACTCAAAATAGTTTTCTCCTTGGCTGCCAGGGCACACTACTGGCTTGTACTGAATTGCTGTCACCAGTACCCCCAAGTCCTTTCCTGCAGAACTCCTCTCCAGCCACTCATCCCCCAGTTTCTGTTTTTATCCAGCACTGTTCCATCCCAGGTGCAAACCTGGCATTTTCCTTTGTTAAGCTCCTTGCCATTGCTGATGGCCCAGTGCTCCCATCCATCTGGATCCCTTTGTAAGATCTGTCATCCCTCCAACTAGTCAGCAACACCTCCCACATTAGAATTACCAGCAAACTTGCTGAGGATGTACCTCACTCCCGCATCCAGATCATTAACCTCTCTCCTGCTTTTTTCCTATCAGCTTATGTTATTTTGAGAACACATTTCTAATGGCTTAAGAATTGCATGGTAAAAAAGATAAACAAAATCCCCTAACAACTGTGTCAATTATATTGGATGTTTTGACTGCCTCTGCATATTTCATATAGTTTTCACACTGACACAATGCTCACTTTACTGACATCCACGTATTTATATGCATAACTATTATTTAAAGAAATTTAACAAATTTACTCACCAGAACACCATCATATGAACCAGACTCACTTGTCAGAAAAGCAAACATAGCACACAGGTAGGGATTGTTCAACTGCAGTCTGAGAGTACTGCACATTTCTCTCCAAAGTGAGTTCTTCTCATCTGTATAGCCTGACAGAGCCATTGCTACTACATTAAGGTTCAGATCACCTGGTTTAATGAAAAAAATGAAAGAATATTTAAGTTCAGGACTTCTTTTTTTAAAAAAGGACATACGAGAGTTTGAAGTTAATACGTTTCCTAAAATCATTATATTAATTTCATCTAAATACTCTGTCAGAAAATGTTTCCTGTTTTCTAATTCAAACAAAGCCAGACCCTGTTCTGAACCTTCTCCCGACCCAAAAAATGCACACACCTCCCCCAGCCTCCAAAAATATTAAAAACAGAAGAACCTTAACAGTTTTCTTCATCTCATACCAATATACTTTGGTGCTAAGTCACTATTTTAAATTTAATAAGAGAACAGATGCAAATCAGAGTCCCAGGAGGAACTAAAACTAGCTCTAAAATCATTAAATCCACCTTCATACATTGTCACTTTCCCAACAACATTTCAGAACTAATGACTTCTGTAAACTTTGAATATTTTATTTCAGTTATTCCAGCCACTGCACTGGCAGAAAGCTGCATATAGCCTAACTGAAGCAGACCTGACATCTGATCCACCTGCAATTACATTAAAAGAAAAAAAAATCCCACCATTTTTGTGTGGGTTACTTTTGGGTGTAAAGCTTTCTGTGGTACGTATCAATATTTACAACGTTTTAATTACATATAAAGCATACTACAGTGTGAGGAGTGAAGAGATAATAGGATTTGTCAGATTCTGAGGCTCCAATACAGCCAATTCAAATAAGTACTGTAAAAGACAGCAGGCATATTCTCCACACCACCTTCCAAAATCCTGTTTCCGTAAGCATCTACTCAGGTGATGTACCTCCAAAAGAAAGGACACAAAACACAATACAAACCTTTTCCTGAGGAAGCACCTTTATTTAGAATTTGTATTGCCCGCCGTATGTCCAAATTGAACAGTGCTACAGCAGCAGCTCGCTCCCAGTCTCCTTCCTGTTCCAATGAATTTAAGAAAGGTTCCACATCTAAGTCTGTTCCCTTCTTTATCCACCCACAGAGCTGCAAAGCCAAGGATCTCTCCTCACTCAGATACTGAATAATATCTGCCTGTCTATCAGATCCACTCCTGCTGTGCCTGAGGTTCTCAGTTGTTCCTAAAATGGGAACAGTATGTTAAATAATGCTTAAACCATAACCTAAATTGCAACTGCAACGCTTTGATTTCAATCATAAAACAGAACATAAAAGCCAAGTATCCCACTTTACTACTCAATTAACATCAATAGTAACTACATGGTAAGGAGCAGCAGATAGCAAATTATTTTATTCTGATCTCCTAAAAGTCACACATCTAAACTTGACACTTACTCCCTAAGTCTGTCTTTCTTTTCTCTTCACCCTAAGATTGTGGATGTTCCTGTTACCAAGACAGGACTGATCAGTGCATTCAATTTGAAAATACAGTCAAGCACCTGCTCTACCAGTTCTCCTCAGCAAGCATCAATGTGCTAGAAACATTCCCAACACTCAAGAGTTGCTTTTGTTATCTCCCCCCCGCCCCAATCAAGCAGATCAAATATTAATAAGACACCTAATGAATAGAGAGGAAAAGATTCAAGTAAGAATCCTCTAAAAAATAACTCAGCTTAAGAGGCGTAATGTGATACACAATGAATGACTGCCACTTCAAAATAACGTAGCCTCTCTAAACATACAAATGTACTTTGGCTACAATAAAGTTAGCTTTCTAAAACTATACTCCCATGTTGAACTTTGAAAAATACAACAAATAGTTACGCAGGGAGCAAGACCTTTTGGTGCCATAGTCAACAGCTAAATGTTTGAAACAGCTCAGATGAAGTTCTACCTCTGAGGTTATTTTGTTCTACTGATGATCTTCAAAGAAAACAAACAATTCAGGAAATCACTGTAATATAAACTGTTCACTTTCATTTCTGTATTTACGATATATATTAAAATACAGACTGATACACTTCATTTCTGCAGCCTCCTTCAACAATTTTTAAAGACAAAGTTGTGAGTGCTTCATTTTGTAAATATACCATAATATAACTTATCAAAGTTAGAACATTCTTACCCAAAGATGACTTCACAATTGACTTAATGCCAGCATAAACTAGGGGACCTTTGTTTCCTGTAAGTTTTTGATCCATATCTTCAGTATACTGCTTCATAAGTATTTACATGTATAGGAAGCTTATTTTTTTTCCAAAGAATTTGAAAAAACACTTCTTCAAAGTTAAAACTCATATTCTCTTAACACAGGCCTTTTACAGGACACTGCATTGTATTTAGACTTTTACACATTTCACACAACCCATTCATGCTTAAAGGGGTGCATTACTTCTTTAAAATATAAACCACAGTAAAATAAAGGATATAGTGCAGAGTGTACCAAAGTGATTTCAGCTGAGGATCTTCATTTCCAGCTAGAAGGTGATTTCTCCAAACTTGTTCAGTATCAAGGCCATACCTTGACAAAGCTCGGAGCCGCATTTTGGTCGCTATATCCTTTTCCAAGGAGCTGGCCTTTCCTTCTTCTGTACACTCATATAAATGCCGCCCACAAGCCCACATTAAGGATGTCACTGGACTCCATGCAAGAGAAATTCTTTCAAAAACTGTAAAGTCAGACATAGTTCTATTGGGAGTCACTACCACCATTCGATTTTGACTTGTGGGATGCCAGGCAAATGAGGCAATGTAGTTTTCACACGGTTGGACACTTCTTTCAATTATTGTAGGCTCAGTTTCATCTCCAATAGGCGTGGGAGTATGCTGCATGTCATACAGCCTAATGATATTACTATCCCTTGTTAAAGTAGCTAACAGTCCTGTCCTTGTTGGACACCATGCCACTTTTGTTAAAGGTTTTGGTTGCTCTGTCAATGTCAGAACTGGCTTTTCAAACTTTCTTAAATCCCATATGGCAACTTGGCCTTCATAGAAGGAAGCTACACGATCATGGAAATACGGATCAACAGTCACTCCTTGGACAGCCTTGGTATTTACAAATATTTTTTGGCTTGTATTCCTCAGATCAAAGATAGCCAGATTGCGATGCATTCCAGCTAAAAGAAGCTTCTGATCCCGTGGAAGCCAACAAAGGGAGAGACAAGCATCGTTCTGCCCTAACTCATAGAGTGGCTTTGTTACCACTAGTCCTGCTTCCGGATCTCCTGTTGAAAGTCTCACTTTCTCTGTAGCAACTGCAGTCTCTGGAGCATATTTGCTACTGATATCCCAGATCAATACTGAAAAGTCAGCCCGGTGTTTATCTAATCCAGCAGCAAGCCAATTACTATCTAGTGGGTTCCATGCTAGAGTGTTGCACTGTCGCGCGTGCTTGGGAACAAACTCTTTCCCTATCAAATCTTTAGATTTTGAGTTGTGATCTTGACCAAGGCTCGTAAGCACCACTCGACCATTGGCCTGTCCAACAGCAAGAAGACATTCAGGATCATACTTGGGATACCAAGCCACACATTTCATATACGGTGTATCCGAATTTATTGACAACAGCGTGGCAGTAGTTTCTTCTGATAAACGCAAGGACCCTGCCTTGAGTTCTGAACTTACAGCAGATTCAATGTGATAAAGGCTCAATTCTGAGTCACACACAACAAAACGGTCGACGTGATGTGGGGCCCAAAGAATATCAGGTTTGGAGCCACTCATGTTTAAGGTGAGTTCACAAACAACTTAAACTGCTGTAGGAAGATTCTGGTGACATCCATTCATACGAAAACTGTTAAGAAAATAATTTGTGGGAATGTTACCAAAATCCAAATTCTTTTTTCATCTCAGATCAGCATTTTTTAAAAAAAAAAAAAAAAGAATATTTTTCTCCATTGCTTTTAGCCCAAGTTTATTGTGTGCACACATTTAAAGCCAAAACTAAGCATTTCTCACATTAAGCCACTTTTCCCATGACATGCCCTGTTTTTGCTAAGATACACTGACTGGTGCAGAAACCACACAGCCACCTACAAACCAACAGCAGTGTGTTCACAACCTCCAGCAATACCAGTATTGCTTATTATGGAAGAGAGCATCAACCAAAACACCATACAGAGTGATGTGTGGGTGTGCTGCCAGGAAAGGGCCAATCCCTAAAACACGTAGTAGAAAATGTCTCTGCCTAATTGAAATGCACTAATTCACAGATATTAGAGTCTGTCTGCCTTGTTTAAAGTTCCATCTATAATCTACAAAGGCTTACCCTTCTTGAAGATTTCTGTAACTATAAAGCTTTACATGCATCACCTCCTTCTGCTGCTCCCAGTTCCACCTTCTGCCCTGCTGTCACCAGGTCTTTGCACGCAGCCTAGCAGCACACATAAACCCACGTTGTTGTCAGTTCCACTGATTCCTGCAGGAGCCCCACGTCCAGAATCCTTACACGCTCCTACGTACAAAGGAAACGACCTTGTGATTCCTACAAATTTTTCTTACGGCTGGGAAAAACAAAGGATTTACCGTATTGGGAAAAGGCAAAAAGAAGCATCACTTGCTGCCACCGAGCCTCCTCTCCACACCCGCTGTCCGCTCCCAGCGCTCCCCTCCTCCCGCCTCAGCCCAGCCCCTACTCGGTCCGGAGTCCGGCCCGCCTCACCGCCGCCCCACTCTGCGGGAACGAGGAAGCCGCCGAGGCCCGCAGAGACGTCGCGGCAGCAGGGCCAGCCCGTAGCAAGAGCAGCAGCCAACCCCCACCCGTCCCCGGGCGCGGCGGCCGCTCACCCACCCGCGAACGCTGCGACACCGCCGTGGCGCAACCCGCGGCCAGCCGGAGCCTCCGGCCGCGGGGACAAACGACAGCAGGGCTCCGCTTCCGGCTGCGGGGCGGCGGGGAAAGGACAACAACTGCACTTCCGGCGCGCGATGAACGCCCTTCCGCACAGCTCCTTCCGGTGGTCAGGAGCGCGCTCTCACTTCCGTGTTGGGAGTGTTCTGGTGATTGGTGTGGTGACGTCACGCAGCGGCACCACAGCGCCCCGCCCCTAGTGGAAGTGGGTGCGCTGCGCGCCTGTGCTGCTGGGGCGGGCTGTAATAGCTCTGTTTTCTGAGTATCTCAGTGACAGCAACATGTGAGTAAATCCTGTCCAGCTTCCCCGAGCATGCGTCCTAAAATGTAGTGCGTCTCTGAGCTCCATCTCGTGGTCTTTGGATGAAGGCTAGTAGTCATCCTCACTGTCAACTTCTAACTTTTAATGAGAGGTAAACCAACAGTGTTGCGCTGAGCTGAGGCATCTGTTTTGATGTCTTATATTTCTGCTTTCTTATCTTTACTTGACACCAAATTCCTTCAGCTCCCACATTCTTGTTCTTGAGCTTTCATTTACACAAGCATTCTGTCCTTCAGTTTATGCCCACTGTGAGAAAGTGTTATCATGTGAAAAAACTGTTCACTGTTTCCTGTCAACACCAAGCTGTGTGGTACACCTGTCGTGCCCCATGGATGGGATGTCATTCAGAGACCTAAACAGGCTGAGCAGCAGGCCCAGATGAACATCATGATGTTCATCAAATCCCAGTGCAAATCTTACACCTGTGCTGTGGCAACCTGCACTATCAGTACAGTCTGAGGGATGTTAGGATACAGCGGAGCCCTACCGAAAATAATAGGCAAGGCAGTGGGATATGAGCCAGCAGTGTGTCCTTGGAGCTGTGAAAGTTAAAATTGTGGGTTTTTTTCCCAACCTCATATACAAGCTAGGGTACTCTTAGACAAACAGATGAGCAGATAGTGAGAGGCTCAGCTGTCAAGATTAGGGAAATGGATGGGACAAACACCATAAGCAGGAGGTAGTAGTTTATGAGGCAAGAATGAGAGAGAGGTCCAAGGTTGATGGGATCAAGCTGTAAATACAACAGCAAGTGTCGGGTAGATTGTGAACCTGGAGTATTCAATCAACAAGGAAATGGGAGGAATTCTTGGTGTCAGTCAGTAGGGGATATAAGGCTGTGATTTTTTTGATTTTTTTTTTTTTTTGTGGTTGTGTGCTCCTGCTTGCTGGATGTCTGCCATTGCAATCACAAGTTAAAACTTCTTCACAAGAGATCTGGTCTCTGAAAAATCATTTGAGTTATTTCTCACAGTCTGGGGGCTCATTCAGGAGCCATCACCTTTCAGGGGTCTCTGGCTACCATGGATAGGAGAGGTGCACTCTGCTGAGTTTAGCGGACCTGTCAGGGGCAGTGGGGCACCTCCCAGAATGGCTGACAGGAGGCCAAGACTGTTTAGAGATAGACCGTGAAAAATTGAAGAAGGTGAGAAGGTACAGGCACAAAAATTGATACAGGAGCCTGGAAACTGCAAGTATGGACCAAGGTAAGAGAATTTTGGCCAAAATACTGGACAAAGATTAGGTATGTCAGACTTTGAATTCATGTGTCAACAATAAGACTCCTTTCTCTGAAACAGAATTGGAATTAGTTTCTCTAACTTCCCTCTTTCCAAGACATTTTCCCCATTCCAGTTGGAGTTGTGTATAACAGGATTACATTATTCAAGGGATTACAGTTTGAACATACAGAATTGCATATGAACTAAAGCCTGTACTTCCTTATTTTACCTTCTTTTTTCTCCTCAAGCCATGTACCTTCCAAAGTATACTTCTCCAAAATATGAACAGTGAAGAATTTCTTTTTAAAATAATGCTTTTAACCTCAAAACCCCTCACCCACAATAGCACTCTCTTAATTGTTTTTATATCTTCAGGGAGAGCCTTGCTCTCCTGGTCTTCGTGGTCCTCTAGGACTCCCCACCACAGGGAATCATGAGCCTAAGGAACTGGTTGCAGTATGTTTCTATCTGAATCTTTCAAACGACGATTTTAATAAACATGCTCATTTTCTAAAACATCACATTCAATTTCCTAAGTTTTGAAACTAAAACTGATGTGATTCATAGATTTTTGTATTTGCACAAGGTGGCATTCCAAGCTAAATTATGATTCCAGCTATTGACTTAGCTACAGAGCTGTACTTTAAAAAGGCCAAATTTCATTTTTGGAAGTAGAAATCACATCTTGCATGAAAACACAGCTCCTTTTTCTGTAATAATGGTCATCTTTAGGAACTTAGTAATGGTTTTGATAAATAAAGCAGGCTAAAATTTATGGAAAAAATAAGAGTAATTCAATTAGGGTAGTATATCATATATCAAAGCAACATTGGCAGCCTGTATTTTTGTGCTTATTTCACTGCCTATTCATTCTTCAGTAATCCACTTCCTTTGGTACTGTTGAAGTCAGACATACTGACTTGTTCCCATCTGTTTTCAGTAACCACCTATAGTTGCATTATCTAACTTTGATTTTAAGAGGAAGTTCTTTAGATATGTGGGAATGAGGAGCTTAAATATCTGACATCTTGCTCACTTCTTGAGATCTCATGACAGTGTAAGCACACTATTGAATTGCAGTGTAATTGGTAGTTGTTGCCTTTTATGTGATGGCCATGAGAATGTGAGCAGGGAGAGGTGGTAGAAAGTCAAGTTGCTGCAAATGTTGATATTGGAGCATTACACAGAGAACATAAATGAACAGGTTTCTTTAATGCAGTAATTTGAAGAACAGGTTGTTCACGTGTATTCCAGAGTGTCAAATTAGGTTGTCATTTGAATTCTCTGAAAACTCCAAGCTCTGAAGGAAGTCCTTCAGTAGGTTGTATTAATTTGCTGATACATCCATTGGTCGCTTTGAGCAGCTGCTGACTTTGTAGGGCACAGAACATCAGGTCCTGAGGCTCCCTGTCTGGGTATCTAAAAGAAGAATATCTGAAATGAGTATTTAGTTTATCCAGATCAGACAGGGACGAAGGAGTGCAATCAGTTATTCCAAGAGATATTTTCTCTCATGAAGCCCAGCATCTCAGTCTTTTACTATCTTAGTCTTGAGCTTTCACTTTCTATTACAAAGGGATGTGTGTTATACTCTTATACCATAGGCTTATGTTATTTTGTACATGTGGCCCCTGTGTTTTACAGTAGTTTTGCTTGCTAATTGTGTCCTGATTAAAGGCTGAATAAGACACCCAAACTTATTGCAGTGCATAATCATGTAGATACACCAGGGGGCAGAATTTAGACAGCATAAATAATACCTCTTTATTTTATAGGTTACACACGATTTAACTCAGCAGCTAAATGATCATTTGCTTGGTATATGGCTGTCTTATTTTTGAAGACTATATGTTACATGAAGCATGAATAAGAATGTCACTGACTTAATATACCTCAGGCATTAGGCTTAAAGTTTGTACTTCAGATTGCATCAAATTGCTCTGTTTCCTAACAGGATATAAAAATCTACAGTGTATTCAAGGGAATGTTGTCATTCTTACTGTGTGAAGGACATACTGGGGGGGGAAAAAATGAAAATTTAGGGCATTCAAATCTGGTTGATATCATTGATCAAGCAGAACCAAAACATCTTTTGACATATTATATTCCTGTACTATACAGTAGTCACCTTTTTTCTTGCTTTTGTAGATCTGTATCATACTCACATTCAGTTGTGGCTATCCAAGTGAAAGAATTGTCACTTTCTCATCTCCCTTCATCCAGAATCTCTCTCGTCTTTGTCACCTCTTTCTGTTTCTTTACTGTGCCATTTGAGTTGCTGTAACTCAAATATCAGACAGTGTCCACGTTCTCTCAGATCATGAACGATAATGTGAAGTTTATTGACCAAAGTCTTATTATCCCCTATTTCAATCTGGAGGGGTTATCTGCCCTGGTCAGGGAGCTCTGAGAGGTGGAGTGCAAAAGGTCAGTAGCTGCAGTGGATACAGTGAGCTGCTATGGCACACTAGGGATTAAGTGCCTATGCTTTCAAAGAAGTTAAAGCTGTTTTGTGTGAAAGTTATGCCCAAAGGGATTTAGAACTTGTCATCTGTATATACATTTGCCAATTTAAAATGTACAAGGGCAGCTCTATAAGTAATACCTCCTATTTTGGCCTTTTAGGCATTTAAATGCATTCTTAGTGCAGAATCTGAAGGTAATCTGAATTTTCGAATTCTCTGGAGCTTATTATTTCTTTCCCTCCCTGATCACAACTATTTTCTTTCAAGGAGAAAATAATATTGCATCCAGATTTATATGTGCCTTGCAATTTGTTTGTGAAACAATGAAACAAATGCTACCTTCCTTTGGGTTGTACATCCTCTTTACTCCCAGACACTCAGTGGTAACTTCAGTCCTCCCAGTATTTCTCTTTACTGCAGTGCACCCAAGTTCTCCTCTTCAAGCCTGAGCTCAGGCTGTAAGGGGTGCTATGCTAATGTCACATCTCTTGTGTAGCCACTGCTGCTTGGAGAAGCTAAAGAAGTGTGGCTGACAGGGTTGATAGGTAAGGATGTAAATTGTTTAGGAGCAAGTGTTTTAGCTGAAAGTTCAGCTGTGTAAAAACAGAAAGTGTTTGTGCTCCTGGGCTGACTCTGTCCCTTTAACAGAGTGGCTTGGTCTCCCACTCAGCACTGGCAAAATGCCTGAGTGTTTTCATTTAAATTTTGGCCAACTGACCAGGAATAATGGACCATAAAAGATCTTGAGGCAAGATAGAGTCATTTACAAGTGGATGGGCTATTTATTTGCAGTTTTCTTTGTTTTTCCATACTGTGTAAACCTGCTGGACGTTTTCTATGCTGACAGCTCATTCTATCCCCAGTTTGCCCTTTGAATACCTTTGAAGGTAAGAGACTTTTGTACCTGTAGAGAATGACACTGATAGATTCTATAGATGTAACTGCTTGATGGAATGGGAGGTAGTGCTTAGGAAGAATAGTTAAATTTGAGATATTATTGGTTACCATTATTAATGGTATTTC